TTATTTATATATTATTTTTTTCGGCGCCCCTGGGAGCTTGCCACTTTTGGGCTTATCACCTAATCTTCGAGGCCGATTCTCTACCGGAACAGATGCTCGATGAGAAGGTGGCCTCAGCTAGGATTAGTTTCGGTACTAAATAGGCAGTACTGAGTACTTAAAGTACCTAATTCTCATTGAGTCTAAGTGATAGGGAAAATAATACGCATACGTATTGGAAACTGAAACGAAAACTCATGAGAAAAGTCGTACGAACTATAGAAAAGGAAAATTACGTAACGAGAGTGGGGTTTATTTTTGTTTTGTTCGCTCTGTTGATCTTTCTTCATTTCGTTTTCTTTCTTCTCATTCTTTTCTGCTTTCTTTGTACTGATTCTGTTTTTAATTTTTGTTTTCTATATATTTTTATTGCCGTCTTTATTTAGTTTTGCTTTGCTTTGGACTCTTGCTTGTTTTGCTTTTATTATTATTTAAGATTTGTTTTTGCTGCTCGTTTTTGTGTCGCTTTTTTTGCATTTGCTTTTGGTTCCCCCTATCTCTCTCTCTCTAGCTATATATATATGTTTTTAGAAGCTTTCTGAGGACTCCCACATCTAGTTTTAGAATTTCCCATCATGCCTGGGTGCCCCCATTTAGTAGTCACGCCCCCTTGTCAAAAGATCAACCCGAACACCACCTGAAGATTTTCCACCTAAATGGAACTCTGTGCTGTTCGTGACATTGAAATATTCGAAATTCTCAGATACAAAACAAGAACATATATCCACTTCCCATTGTGTAATGTTTAAAAACAGAGAATATTTCGGGTATGATGATGATTTTTCAATGCTAATTTCTCCAACATCCCACGCCGGGTGCTTTTAAAGGTGATTTAATGGTATACAATATGTTTTGCCAAACAAATAAGAAACAGAATCGGAATCTGAATCATTTTATACAATTTTCGTTTTGATAACACTCAAAATATTATAGGTTTTTGCGTTGTTTGGAGCAGTTTGATGATGGAATATTTCTGTTAGTCGAGATTAAACCAATTAACATAATCTAACATGGTTGAGTTCTGATCTCTCACGATCAAAGAGAAAAAAACACCTACGCAAATAAGCCCAGTTGTCTTTTAATCTAATGTAATAAAAAATATATATAATATTCATACATGTTTGTTAAGAACCTGTCGTTAACAATAAGCTCAAGCCCCCACTTAAATGATTCCGATCCGATCTGATCTGATCTTATATAGTAAATACTGTGTGACGCAGCAGATCGAGCAAAATTAATTCTCAACCCATATTTTGAGAGGAATTGTCTTGTTATTGTTTACATTTTCTATGCTTTTCCCATTCCTTGTTGTGTGTTTTTTGTTTTGCTTCTGCCTTTTTGGTTATTTTCATATAATGACGTGTTTTTTGCTAAATATTATTATCAAATGTTATTATTTAATGTTTCAAAAGTCTGACTGTCCCCGAATGTGCGACGCAATTTCAGTCCCTCCCTCTTTCACTCGAAAGTAAAGAAATAGAGTATATATATTTAAGTGCAAAATGCAAAATAGCAAATTGTTCACGTTAATTTTACTTAAAATAGTTTGGCAGCCGGCAATGGAGAGGCGGCAATTAGAATTTTGTACACTATTTTTAGAGACAGACGAACTCTGGACTGTTTTGGTACTCAGTAATTAGGAGGGGTGTGTGTTTGGGTATTTAAGTATACAAAATTGGTAATTCGAGTGAATTAAACTTAAGTTAGTTAGTTAAACTTTATATTCAAGATTTTCTAGATAATAATCAATAAATAACAGCTGATAACCACAACAAAGTTTGTATCTCAAATATTTAAGATACATGTATCTTGTAATGTTTTGATCAGGAAATAATATGGCAATGAATCCCTATAACACATGGCATGATATATAGAAATATCAAAACCTTTTATTACTACTAAATACATTTAAAGTCAATAAATAAATATTGAAAAACAGAAACAATTCCTAGAATGCCACTATTGAGGTAATATAGGTAAGGAAGATAGATTGTATCTCAAAAATTAAAGATGTATCTTATGATGTTTTTATCAAGAAATGAGCTTGCAACAAATCCCTAAAACACATATTATAAAATAGATATACATTCTAAAGATTAAAAACCTTTAAAACTCTTTGTTTGTAGGTAGATTTTTTACATTTATTTTATTATGTATTCCCAAAATTCACAAAGATTTTTAAACCTTAAAGAAAGACCCACTAAAGAAGCCCGAGAAAGGCACCAAAAAGAAAGAAAGTTAAGATAAACTTTTAACTCCAAGTTGTGACCCAAAAAGGCTTCAAATTTCACTGGAAAAAAAACCAATACTAAGAGGAATATTCCATTCGATCAGGTTAAACTCTAAGTTAGGGTATTTCTGGGGTCTCTTTTTTTATACATTTTCGACAGTCTCATTATTTTTCGCTTTGATTTTCGTTTTGTTGGTAGTGGCTTAGGTCAGGTTGGAATGTTTCGGTCTGGGTTTTTTTTTATTTTAATTTTTTTTTTTGCTGGGGGCACTTAAGTGCGACTCATTCGCATTTGCCATTATTTGCGGCCATAAACCTTTCGCTAGAAAGATATTATGTAATGACAAACGTTGGACGCGACGTGCGCGACCTTATCTAAATAATTTTGTATTTAAATACAAGCACAACACAGGCATACACACACACACACACACTCTAAAATATGAGGAGATCCAAAGTTTTTTGTGTAAAAGAAATAATGAGGCGATGATTCGGAATGCTCTCAGGTAGAAAAGTGTGTTTTAGGTAGCGAATGAATGAACTTCCGTGTTCTCAAGGTAAATTCTTCGATGTCGTTCGGGTGTCTCTTTCTCCTTTTTTATTATTTCCCTCACACTCTCTCTTTTTTCTCTGTTATAAAAAAAGCTTAATAAAAAATGCCTGTACCACGATCCACACTCGCACACAGATACTTTTCGCTTGGACTTTGTCATAGTGTGTGTGAGTTGATTTTTAATTGAGTTTACGCGCTCTACGCACACTTTTCAATTTGTTTACAATTTTATTGAGATTAAGAGAGACGAGAGGGATTCTCTTTATGTTTCATTTAAAAGCTTTGAGCTCTCTTTAAATTTGTGTTATTTTCTTAACCTGAAATTTCGAAATATTGTTACTTAAAAAACATGTTATTTGCTTTTACAATAGTTTTTCTGAGAGATTTCTCAGGTAGTTTTTATAAGAAATATAATATTAGCTGGGACTTTAGAAAAATATATTAAAGGCATATCTTATTATTTATTTCAATACTTAAGACCATCTTTATTGATCTTCCTACTGCCCTAAAACTGTCTTAAAACTTATGATAGTATTAAACCTAAAAACTCTGTTTAAATAATATAAAATTAGCACACAAAATATGACAAAATAAGTTTCAAATAAGTTATTATTATTTTATTTGAATATTTCTTTGTTAGCAAAATATTTATTAGATTTTATAAATAACACTTTAAATAGAAAATTTAATACTTATCAATCATACTGCCTTAAAGATACCATTTTTCCAAAGAATAATCGCAGTTTGCAGACTAAAAAATATTGTATATTCCTACCTAAAAGTTAATGCAATCAAAAGCTCATTGATAAGGCACGTTCTATATAATTTTATATATGTATATACCGATTTTTTCGGTTAAAAATTGCACCAGACAATGTTGTGTGTGCTATCATGAGAGTTCGAGCGATGCCCGTCAGGCTTCGTTGACTTATCAGCTGGGTTTTTGTTCCATTCCAGACAGAGTCAATAGACCTTTTATATTCCAGACTCACAAACAGATTCTCTCAGTGTTATAAGTGAGAGAGAGAGAGAGAGAGAGACTTCACATCACGTTTTTCAGTGTATTTAAATGGCATTTTGATAAACCAAAAATACTTATACTATGGCTATATTATTATTGGGGCATATACATATATTGATAACTCTCGTCGCCATTCCGCTAATTGAAATCGTTTCCATTCCAACTGTGTGCTAAATTTAGTCATAAAAGCATTTATAGATTTTATTAAAACTAATTGATTTTCATTCCGTGAGCTATAAAGACAAGAGTCTCATTGGAATGCCAAGAAAATGTGCGAGAACAAGATCATAACCTACATTATGCCAGATGTTGGAGCTCTTTCTTTGATAACACTGCTCTTCTCTTAGTTATTTTTTAAGAGCATTTTAAATTATAGATATTCGTAGGTTTATTTTTCTGCGGAAAAATAAGGTAAAGTAAAATTTCCAGAAAATTATACAATACACTTTGTCATTTATTGATTTGATTACGTACCAAGTGCCTAGGCACTCGCAAAACTATATATATATATATTAAAGCTGAACAATCAAACTATAAATCATTTGCTATCGAACTATTAAGTTCTCTGTACTGAATAAATTTGAAAAGCTGCAAAAATTTACTATACCCTCTCTACGGACACGTGATCAATTGAAAATCGAAATATGTCAATTAGTTTGAACGATTCAAGATCGTTTGAAAATCGTTTTTCCACATTTTCAAGCTCACGAAAACAATCAAAATGTAATTTTTGAACAAAATGCTTAGCAGTGAGATGACATGATGACTTGACACAATCTTATATAGCTTTTATAAATTTATAGCAATTTAAATTCAAGGTGAATCTTTCTCTTGAACAATGAATTTGCACTAGGAAAATATATATAGGTGATAAAATGTTTGTATATATTTCTAAATAAATTTCATAAGAGTAGCTAGAGGTTGACTAAGTATAGTAATAATATTTTTAGGTACATCTTTTACTGTAGATATTTTGGTTTAATAAGTTTCAAATAAGTTATTTTGAATGCTAGGTTTAATGAAATATTTTTATACACTGTCTAACTGAACGCTGAGAATTGCAACTTTAAACTTTGTTACACAAAGAAATACTTTAAATTGAAGTATGTAATATATCCAATAAACAATTCTTCCTCTTATTTCCATATCCTTTTCAGGATTCTTAACTGATCGCGAGACTTTCGCGACTACTTCAACCTTTTCTGGGGCTGGCTGGCGGAGACCTTGAAGCTTTGAGCTTGATCTTGAGGAAAAATCCGGAAAAGCCGCAACGCTGCAACTTCACAACGACCTGCTTTACCCAATGATGGACGGCTTTGCCCAGGACTGGCCCACGCTGACCCACACAGACAATGGCCTGGGTTCGGCCATGGATCAGCTGGGAGTGGGCGTGGTCGGTGGTGTAGGTGTGGGGGATTTACCCGGGGATGTGGGCTTTGAGCCACAAACTCGTGCCAGATCCAACACATGGCCATGTCCGCGTCCAGAGAACTTTGTGGAGCCCGCAGATGAGTTGGATAGCACAAAGGCCAGTAATCAACAGTTGGCTGCCGGAGGTAAGGATTTTCCATAGTGGAAAAGTGGTTTTGCTATATATTTGTATTATATCTAACATATATTTTTGTATTTGACAGATTCACAGCAGGCTATACAGAATGCGAATGCGGCCAAAAAGAACTCATCGCGTCGAAATGCTTGGGGAAATCTCTCCTACGCGGATCTCATCACGCATGCCATTGGCTCGGCCACCGATAAACGACTGACTCTGAGCCAGATCTATGAGTGGATGGTCCAGAATGTGCCATACTTTAAGGACAAGGGTGATTCGAATAGCAGTGCCGGATGGAAGGTAGGAATTTACTATTAATACTTACATTTCTAAATGGGAATTGAATTATTAAATGAGTTTTCTGGTAGATTTTTACAGGATTTGTTGGGGCTATTTAAAAGCGGTTTCTTTAATTTAAGATCTTTGGATAAGATATCTAGAAGATTCTCGTTGGGGCTTATGATTTTCACAAGCTGTGTAGGGGTTATTCAAAGACGTTTCCTTATGTTGAGATCTTTGGATAAAGATATCTTGAAGTTTTGAGTTGGTTTAGTAAAAATTAAAATGTACGATACATTTTTGGTGGACAGTTTTATTCCTTATAGATACTTTTTAAGCCTTTAAATTGTGGCCGAAAACCCAGCAAACAAAATGTGGTTATAAATTTATAATAATAATAATGTATAGTGTATGTAGTACTTATTTAGTACTGTATTTCTTTTTATACATATTTTAAACAATGCCAACTAAATTCCTATATTATTAAAAACTTAATAAAATACAAAATCTTTTAAAATACAAGCCTTACATTAACTTTTTAACCTTTTTACTAACTCGTTTCCAACTTACTTTAGTAAATCTTTTTCCAAACACCAATCTCTCTAGTTTTCTTTGCATTGTTTATGTTTTCTTTATTTTTTTTTACCAAAGAGCTTTCAACTTTGTATCTTTTTCTTTTCCCACAACGCTCTTTGGCTTTCAAATGGCAAATTCATTCGCAATTCGCATTTCGCCGGGCAAAAAACGGTCAAGTTCAGGGCCAAGTCAGTCAAGTCAAATGGAGTGAGAAGTGGAGCCGCTGGGAGTGTTGTTTTGGCTTTCATATTTTTGCTTCTTGTGGTCTGCTTTTCTGCTTTTTTTATATTATGCAATTTGTTGGAGTATAAACATATAATTTTATTTATTTATATATATTTTTTTTCCATTTGTTACGTGTGTGAAATGTTTGTCAGAGCCGGCATCACTTTTTTCACCCTCGGTATCTTGACCGGATTTCCATTTTGTTTTTTTGCTGAGTTTTTGCAATTAATGCGCTTTATCTTCGGATCGTTTTTCGCTTTTGTTTACATCCAAGCATACGTAAATAAATAAATAAATAGACGCGTACACAATTATATGCATGCACGAGCTAAATGCGTAAATCATGCTTCATTTTCAGTTTCATTTTCATTCATATTCAGAGACCGGTTTCCCCTTGCTTTTCTTTTGTGGTTTGACTTTCCACTGGAAAGGTTTTACTTTTGCGTTTGTAAATGTTTAATAGTTTTAGGTTTATATGGGGTAATCTTTTGAGGAAATACAACACAGAAATTGAAACTTAATTAGGCTTCAACTGATTTTATATTAAAATTCAAAAGGGAATAGTTAAAACTTGTTTGCATGTATATCTATTTATTTTTTATCTTATTCAAAGTTCGTTCTTGACATTTATTACTTCACTTTTGACATCATTTAAGTTATTTTTCTAAATTTATGTATTTCAAACCTATAAATCCCTCTGAGACTTGATTTATTTATTTAAAAATCAATATTTAGATGGTTCTATTTATTAATATTGTGCATTTTGTCCCCTCTTTGGTCTTTTCTGCCTGTCAATAATTTTTTTATTTTGCTTTCATTTTTTTCTTTTTTTTGACACTGATAACATTTGCTTACATAGACGAAATCCATGTATTTCACTTGTTTATACTATACAAGCTTTTTATTGGTTCCTTTTTTTTTTTTTTGCAAAGTTATCAATAAAAGTCTGTGTGGAGTTCATTGACATTTACCACAAATGACAGAAATACTGTATACAGTTCAGGATTTTACTAAATTAATGTAGAATTTAATCGAATTTCAGGTATTTAATATTTATTTAAATATTTCCCAGAACTTCCTTTGATCGATTCTCTATGGGATACGTGATCTTCGTTGCCATAAATCATTCGATCCACTCATATTTCTTGGTTAGCCCAGTGCGTCACTCACGTGATTATTTTTCTTTATCAAATTTGCTGATAACTCAATGCACAAAGCACCCCTTGACTGTTGAGGTGCTTAAAAAAAGAAAATAAACCAACAAAAAAGTCAAAGAATTTGCTGATTTTGCTACGAAGAAATTGAAGACGATTGATACCCGAAACTTTATTTTTTTGCGCAGACAGCGCGCTTCCACAGAATTTTTGGTTTATTATTGTTATTTGTTTGGGTTTATTTTCTTTTTCTTATTCTTTTTGTAGGTCTGTGAACTAATATTGCATTATTTATATTAGTGTATTGGTCATAGTCGCATTTTTCACGGAAGTAGTCCGGGGGTCGACTACGGCTGGGTTTTTTAGAGATTACGTAGGGGAAATAACACTCATCACCGTGATAATGAAATTTATTCGAGCGTCGCAGAAAAAAAGGTTAGTTAAAGCCCTAGAGAGGCTTTCTAAGAATAAGAAAAGAAATGTAAACAAAAGTGCAATTATTACAGGTTTTTTTTAGGAGAATTAACGCGTGTTATTGTTTATATTTTGTCTGATAAGGAGAAGGAATTTTTATGGAGAAAATTAAAATCTTCATTTTTGTGATGTGAAGTCTAACATTTTTAAGGGAGATTTTAAAGAAATTTGTCTTTAAATTTCTTAAATTTCTAAGCAGGTTTTCCTTTGGATTAATACCCTTTTGGAGTGCAATTATGCTTGTATTTTGTTAAGAAACATTTTGAAATTATTTAGAATACTAATAACCCTTTAAAAACTGTCTTGCATTTATTAATATTTTTAAATGATAGTTTCTACCGTCTTAAGGCAGTTAAGTTTAGCTTAGTTCCAGAAGTTTAAGCATTTAATAAAATTCCCTTGAATAAGGCTTCCCTTCTTCTTTAAAATCAGAGATTATCTTATACATATTTATTTGCCTTAAGGAACTCCCTCATAAAAATAGACCCAACTATTTTTATCATATTTTTTCTTTTTTGCAATTCTTTCTCATATTGAAAGGAAGAGTGTCTTGTGCCTGCGCTGCGCATTCCTTTATAAAGTTTTATGACATTTTGCTAATTTATGCAACACGTTGTTGCCAATGCCACCGCGTTCCACCTGACACTTGCTTCCTTTTTTCCTGTCCTTCTGTCTTCTGGTGGCTTCAGAGCTTCCTCCGCGTCGTCATAATAATAATAAAGAACGAAACGAGCGAAACACTCAAATGACATTTGTGGAATTTTAAATTTTTGCCACTCTTGGTGACTGCAACGCCAAAAGGCTTCCTCTTTTCAGTGGTTTGCTGTGGCTGTCTGATTCCGGATGGTGGTGGTGATGGTGGTGGTGGTGGTTGTGGATGTGGTGGCTATGGTGGCTCGTGTCTTCATCATCATCCTCATCAGGTTTTTTGGCCATTGAACTGCTGCCAAGTATTTTTTCCCGCTGCCTTGCTCCTTTTATCAATTTATTTTCGTGTGAGCGCTTAGTTTTTTTTTATTTGTATTTCTGTTTTTTTTTTTTTGTTATATTTTTGCCTCTTTTAATTGGCAGCGAACCGCATCGTGTTATAAATATTTTTTTTTTCTTTTTGGCAGCAACATTTTCGTGGTTTTTCACTCTCGCCCTGTGAAACGTCGCACTTTTGGCAATTATGTTTGGAAATTTCTGTAATTTATGACGCCTTCTTAGGTGGCATTTCCCACTATTTACGATCTGGCCGGGAATATGTACATTTCCTCATTTTATTATTGGGGGGAAAAAGGTGTGAGGGGATTTTTTTTCGTGGAAAAAATATGTAGGAAAAGATCAGAGTTTGCTGAGGATTAGAATTTATGGAATACATTTAAATACGGAGATTTTCCGCAAAGGAAAATCACACAATATACATTAAAAGATAATGGAAGATGCATTAACTAAATACCAAGGTGTGTGGAAATTTAGGGAAAGAAATGTTAATTTTTTGTAGAGATTTATAGAAAGAGCCTTGAATAGAAGATTCCTATTTAAAATATTTAGTGTTAGCTGTATATAATTTACAAGTTTCTCGAATTAATTTCATTGGTTTCAAATTAAATAAGAATTTTCCTTTGATGTTTAGTAAAAGTTAAGTAATAAGTAATTATAGTAAATCTAATTCATAGTAAATTTCTAATTCCTAATATTACAAAAATATATATTTTTAACTGAATATATTACAAGTTTATCAATTTAAATAATTAGTTTCGAATTTAATTAGAATTTCCAGTTGTTGTATAGTGAATATTGTGTAGTAAATATAAATTTTTATAATAATAAAATATTGTTAAGGTAGTGAATAGCTTTCTCTCTCTCTCCCTCTCAATCAGAGGCTCTCCTTCCCTCTCTCTCTTGCTTACTCTTTTTCGGTATGTCTATCTCTCCCAGTGTATCTCTAGAGACATCTCTTGCTCTCTCCCCATCTCTTTCTATTTCACTCTCACTTTCTCTGTTCTCTTTACTGGGACAGTATAAATACAGGCACGACCGAGGCGCTTGCCTCATTCGGTTCGCGGCCTCCTCGCTGTTAACATCTCTGGTGATAGTGATAGTGATTGCCCTTCGAACCCAAAATGATCAACTGGCTTATGAAATGCATCTGGATAGCCAGGAAGAAAGTTTAAGGGTATATAAACTTAGCCTTCTCGTAGAAGAAGACCTTGCCTTCATGTTATTTTCCTTTTTAGAATTTTATCTAGATCCAACTCGATTAATGGGGCGGCATTCTTCTCTTTGTGGAAAGTTCCCGATTTGATTCAATTGCTTGTAATCTGAAAGATAACGTATACATGGGGTATATTGTGTAATGATATTATTATATCGGTGGAAAACGCAGTAGTTTTTAACCTTTGTTAACTTTGGCCTTATCAAAATATAGGTCTTATCAAGACAATGGCCTTGCCAAGAATGCACTACAAGTACCCAAGGAATTAGTCAGCTTTAATCGAGTGCACTGGGGTTGGGTTTATTTTTCCTGAATAATATAATTCTGAATATAAATAAATATGCAATGGTTAATAGGAAGTGGCATTCATTAACGTTTGAATATAGATGTGC